TTGATGAAATTTTCACCATGGGTGTGTCTTGATTTTTTTATGAATTTAAAAATGAATACAGTCCGGTAAAACTGATTTAAAATTATAGAGAATTGATAAAAATGTTAGCACGTATTCTCTGTAAGCACCAACGAATTTACTATAGGGCTTGGAAACGACATGTCTCGGATTTTGATGAAATTTTTACCATAGTTGTTTCTTGGTACAAAACTAATAAATATGGTGTCGGAAGTTCCACACGTGCACGTGGTTGCCATGGAGACGGATCCATTGAATTCGGCCATTTTTGGCCCATTTTGACTAAATGAAAACATGAAAATTGAGGAATGTAAATGCCTATTTATCGGTATCTTATACACTCTAACAAAAATCATTGGATCATATGATAACATGACATTTTAAAGTACACAGGGCATATAATCGTTTATTCTAGAAATATTCTTCCTGTAAAAAAAGGTCATGCAAAATTACATGGTTTATAAAAATTTGAAAAATGGGGAAATTGGAATTTTTTGAGAGCTTTGAGGCTAAATAAGAAAAATTGTCCGCGGAAATTTCCCAAATCTTACATGGATTATTATACTTGGGAATAAGTAGTGTCATTTCATGAAAAACATAAGTGGGCTTTTGCTCCTATTTTTAGTAACATGTATCTAAAAATAGATATATTTTAGAAAAATGTGAAAAATCAAATTTTGGCAAAGTTTAAATTGTCATTTATGCATAATTAGAACGTATGTTGTAAAATTTGAAATTGAAATGACAGGATCTGGATACCACTAGGTGGTATCGATAACTGATGAGGGGAATTCCCATTTCTATTTTAAGTATAAGGTGCCTAAATATAGAGATGTCTCTGAATATTAGAAAAAATGGCATTTTTGTTCTAATAGGAAGCTTCATAAAAAAGTCCTAACAAATATAAAGCTTTCTATAATATGTTTACAGAATGTACATGTGTTTGTGCAATAATTGCCATAATATTGAGGATGGACTCTTGTTTCATTTTATGGCAACAATGACCTAAAATAGATTACCCAAATAATTTGAGAAAATGTAGATTATTGCACCCTTTCAGGCACTTTTTAGATGTAGTTGCTGCATAACTGGGAAATATTTTGTAAAATTTTAGATGTTAATGACAAGATCTGGATACCGCTAGGTGGTATGGATAATTGTTGAAAGGAATTCAATTTCTGTTTTTAGTATCATGTGGCTAAATATAGAGATGTCTCTGAATATTAGGAAAAATGGCATTTTTGTTCTAATTGGAAGCTTCATATAAAACGTCCTAACAAATATAAAGCTTTCTACAATATGCTTTTAGAATGTACATGTGTTTGTACAATAATTGCCACAATATTAAAGATGAACTCTTCTTTCATTTCATTTCAACAATGGTCTAAAAATAGATTATTCGAATAATTGAGAAAATGTACATTATTGCACTTTTTCAAACATATTTTAGATGTAATTGCTACATAATTAGGAAATATTTTGTAAAATTTGAGATCGATGTTAATGACAAGATCAGATCTGGACACCACTAGCTGGCCAGGTATGAATAATGGTTGAGGGGAATTCCTATTTCTATTTTTAGTATCAGGTGCCTTAATATAGAGATGTTTGAATACATGTATTAGGAAAAATGGCATTTTTGTTCTAATTGGAAGTTTCATATAAAAAGTCCTAACAAATATAAAGCTTTCTACAATATGCTTTCAGAATGTACATTTGTTTGCACAAAAATTGCTACAATATTGAGGATGGACTCTTGTTACATTTTATGGCAACAATGGTCTAAACATAAATTACTCGATTAATTGAGAAAATGTAGATTATTGCGCCTTTTAGGCACTTTATAGATGATATTGCTGCTTAATTAGGAAGTATATTGTATAATTTGAGATGTTAATGACAATAGCTGGACACCATTAGTCGGTGTAGACAATGGTTGAGGATGTTTCCCAATTCTATTTTTTGTATCAAATGGAGAAATATAGATTTGTCTCTAAATATTAGGAAAAAATGGCGGTTTTTTGCTAATTTGAATCTTCCTAGAAAATGTCTTAAATATAAAGCTTTCTACAATATGCCTTCGAAAAGAACACTTGTTTGTACAGGAATTGCTACAATATTTAGGCCTGACCCTTTTTTTATACCAACAATCGTCTAATAAGGTTCCTAGAATAATCGAGAAAATATGGGTTAATGGATCTTTTCAGGCAATGTTGGAAAGAAAAATCAATGTTATACCGTTAGTCTGGAAATTTTTGCTGTAGATAAATTTTTAGCAAATTTGCATTCGCAAAAATATTTTTCTTAAAAATAAATTACAAATAAGGAAATGTTAACAATCAGTGGTTATTCACAAAATTTTGATACGTAAAAATTAATAAGCACCATTTTGACCTTAATTCGCAAAATAAAATTGACGTAAAAATTTCCAGATTTACAGTAGACGTTGTGTGACTGAAAAATAATTCCAATCTATTTAGTGAAATGCACACTATCTGAACGTGGGGCTTTTTTTTCTTCTATTTTTAGCACATCCACTTATATATAGCAACTTTTCAGCAGAAGAAGAAAAATGACAAAGGATTAAAGGAGCTTCATTGATAATATATTTACGAAATATAGTGCTGTATTCAACATGTTCAATATGTTATGAGTATAATAAAGTTTTTCTAGTAAAATAATTATGTGACAGATAAGTATAAACTATATGTAATATCGGTAGTTACCGTCAATTAACAAGCATAAAAACAATGATGATATTCAATTCTACTTATATTTGAAATATGCGAAATCAATGAGGACTTCCAGTTCTATTTATAGAAACAAAGAACAAGGTACAGTTTCAATGCAAAATATTTAAAGCTCTATATTTTTCTAATATATGAAAGTGATATAGGAAATCAAAATTCACTCTTTCTAAATCATAAGAATTCCCTGCAGTTAAAATACACAAATCGTTTTTCTTATATGACCTCCTAATTGCTAATTGTGACGTCATTAACTTGTGTATTTTTCCATATTTTCTTAAAAAGTTGCAGAAGACATCAATTTTTAGTGGAATATTTTCTTTCAGAAGACATACTCTGCCACTCTCGCCCAGAGAAATTTTTAGATAACCGAAATGTAATTTTTCATAGCAGTTTACATAATCCAAAAATTAAAGAGGGCGACGGTGGCTAAAGGAAAATCAGCACAGAAATGAGTCATGTTGAGGCTTTTCTGCATTTAACTTAAAAGTGTACCAAATTAATGACGTCATATATCCTGAACGACTCCCTTCGTGTCATTTTCTTTAATGATCTATCATATTCATCTAATCAATGATTGTTAAAACCAGTTTCACAACTTTTTAAGAACATTAAATTTTTAGGGCACAATAAAGCTCAAACCGTACCTTCTTATAAAAGAGACCAGAGGGCATCAACAGTCATGAGAGTAACCCTGTAACAAATCAGTGAAATGACATTTTAACAAGGCCTTGTTATTATAGATTAGATTCCCTAGTGTCTCTTCTTGTTTAAAGAGAAAATCCCTATGTTTGGTACATTTATTAAAAATCCTTAGATACTCTGCGACAGTTTTGACAAAAAATTACAAAAGGTTCTTGAAATATGGTGACTATAAAAAAAAAAACAATGCAGACCACAGAGACTGTCATATAGAATATGCTCTTTGAGTCTTCGTCTAAAAAAATGAAAAGTCTTTGGACAAAATAAACTTGTAGATGAAAATACAGGTACATTGTCAAAGACTAGAATTAGGACAATCAGAAATTATTTTACAGAAAATTGAAAAGATTTTTAAAGTTTTCCTATAAATGGCCTAAATATCTGTATTTCGCCACGTGATACTGAAAATAGTAATAGGAACCCTCCTCAACTTTTGTCCGCACTAGCTAGTTGTGGCCAGCTACTGTCATTAACATCTCAAATTTTACAATATACTTCCTAATTATGCAGCTATGACATCTAAAAAGTGCCAGAAAAAGTGCAATAATGTACATTTTCTCGATTATTCCAGGAGTCTATTTTAAGACCGTTTTTGCTTTAAAACGAAACGAGTTCATCCTCAATATTATAGCAATTATTGTACAAACAAGTGTTCATTCTGTTGGCATATTGTAGAAAGCATTATATTTATAAAGACTTTTTGTACGAAGATTCAAATTAGCATAAAACTGCAATTTTTCCTAATATTAAGAGTACTTTATATTACGCCACGTGATACTAAAAATAGAAATGGGAAACCCCCTCAACCATTGTCCACACCTGCTAAATGTTGTCATTAACATCTAAAATTTTACAATATACTTCCTAAGTAATCAGCAATGACATCTATAAAGTGCTTAAAAAGGTGCAGTAATCTACATTTTCTCCATTATTCGAATAATCTATTTTTAGACCATTGTTGATATGAAATGAAACAAGAGTTCATCCTCTTGTCATTTACATCTAAAATTTTACAAAATATTTTCCAATTATGCAGTATCTACATCTATAAGAGCCTGAAAGGGTGCAATATTCTACATTTTCTCAAATTATTCGAGTAATCTATTTTTAGACCATTGTTGCCATAAAATGAAAGAAGAGTCCATCCTCAATATTGTAGCAATTATTGAACAAACACATGTACATTCTGAAAGTATATTGTAGAAAGCTTTATATTTGTTAGGACGTTTTATATGAAGCTTCCAATTAGATCAAAAATGCCCTTTTTTTCTAATATTCAGAGACATATCTACATATAGCCACCTGTTACTAAAAACAGAAATGGGAATTCCCCTCAACCGTTGTCCATACAAGCTAGTGGTGTCCAGCTCTTGTCATTAGAATCTCAAATTGTACAACATACGTTCTAATTATGCAGTAATGACAATTAAAACTTTGCCAAAATTTGATTTTTCAAATTTTTCTAAAATATATCTATTTTCTGATACATGTTACTAAAATAGGAACAAAAGCCCACTTATGTTTTTTCATGAAATGACACTACTTATTCCCAAGTATAATAACCCAGGTAAGATTTTGGAAATTTCCGCGGACAATTTTTCTTATTTAGCCTCAAAGCTCTCAAAAAAATTTGATTTCCCCATTTTTCAAATTTTTATAAACCTTGTCAGTTTGCATGACCTTTTTCTTACAGGAAGAATATTTCTAGAATAAACGATTATATATGCTCTGTGTACCTTGAAAGGTCATGTTATCATATGATCTAATGATTTTTGTTAGAGTGTATTAGATACCGACAAATATCCATTTACATTTCCTCAATTTTCATGTTTTCATTTAGTCAAAATGGGCCAAAAATGGCCGAATTCAATGGATCCGTCTCCATGGCAACCAAGTGCACGTGTGGAACTTCCGACTCCATATTTATTAGTTTTGTACCAAGAAACAACTATGGTAAAAATTTCATCAAAATCCGAGACATGTCGTTTCCAAGCCCTATGAAAATTCGTTGGTGCTTACAGAGAATACGTGCTAACATTTTTATCAATTCTCTATAATTTTAAATCAGTTTTACCGGACTGTATTCATTTTTAAATTCATAAAAAAATCAAATATGTGTAGTTTACTGCTTGTGTTGAATTTTTTTTTTTTTTTTGCTGAGAGTTTAACTAAGTATGAGCAGGAGTCCGTAGCTAATAAATACTGGACACTTTGTATTATGTTTGCATAAAACATTTATTGCAGATGAAAAAAGTATAAACTTGGAAGGAATCATCTTTGCATCTGTTGTGGGGGCTATCGGGATTGTTGGTGCAATAATGGTAATCACAGTATTCAGAAAATGGTATGTATTTAATAAATAAAATTATCCGATAATATTTTTGAGAGTGTCTTCAAAAATTCTGTTTGAAATTTCTTTGCTCCTGTACATCTAGGAGCCAAAGGCTTGGATGTGCATATTAACTGAATTAAAAAGGAAGCTCATCATAGTAGAAATAAAAAAAAATAAGACAAGCTTACTAAATCTTGTGCATTGTAAACAGTCACCCTTGGAGTTCTCTTTCTGGAAATAAGACACTATTATCTGTTTCATATCATTAGCACCCATTCAAAATAACCATATATATATATATATATATTTACATCAAACTTCATACACGTCTCCATATGAGTGAAAAATTCTCGAGAGGGACGTTAAACAATATACAAATCAATCAATCAATTTTGTTGTAGAGTTTAGATGAACTTAAACATCAAGGTACAAATTTAGTTCTCATCTGAATATATATTCTCTAAAATACTTAGATCAGTATAAATGGCAGTTATGAAACTTAATAATTATACCCCCCGTTTGAAAGGCGGAAGGGTTTATAGTAATCGGTATGTCCGTCCGTCTGTTACACTTTGGGGTACCCATCTCTTATCCGCAACTCCTCTCATACCACTGAATGAAATTTGATGAAACTTTCACAGAGTTTTTATTACATATTGCCATTGTGCACCTCCTATTATATCCGACACATATTTTGGGTTTCCCACAGCAAGACATTGACACTGTCATTATCTGGGAGGCGGTGGTATCCTTGATTGAGCACAGTGCTCACAGTACCTCTAGTTTTGTAATACTGTGCTTGTTACCTACATGTATCAATGTTTGTTGACTTAAACCCTGTAAGAAAAATAAATTTCTTTTCTGAATATCGAGTATATAAAGTCAAAAACAAAAAGAGGCCTTTATCATGTTTATTTATTTATAAACCGATAAAAATGACTTTTTATATCCGAAATACCTTCTTGCTAGATAGAAAAAAATTACGAAGTATTCATTCACATTGACCCTTATTTATTTCACATACAAATTTAGGAGTAATATTCAATTTATATTTTCTTTTTAGTTCCAGAAAGGGCCGTCCAAACATATATGACCAATCTATCAATCTCAGTAGAGAAGCCAATGAAGAACAGTATGATTATGAAGCACTACAGAAAAACAAGGAGCATGAAGAAGGATACGAGGAACCATTGACTGGACGAATAGACAATAACACTGAAACCACACAGCAAATAAATAATGTACCGAATGTATATATTGATATTTGTGGCTAATCAGACTTCCATGACATGCTTTTAAAAATGTTGTTCTAGTACATCGTGTTCTTGCTTATATATGTACCAAAGCTGTATATGAATAACTTCAGTCTTGGAATTTCAATATTTATCAAATATATTCATGTAGGTTGGCTATAAGTCTTTAAGTTTAACAAAATTGTAGTGTTACGTAAAATACAGATAATTAACATTTTAAAAGACGTAAATATTTGATTATAATGTAACATTTCCATTGTTTGCCAAAATGTAATAAAAATGAGTAAATAAAGTTATTCTTTGATCTTTTTTGCAAATAATAATTAGAACTGTATTTAATATTTGTCTTTTGAATATGAGAGAATGAAATTGTACATTAATTTTAGAATTTATTCTTGATATCCTACACATTATGCTATTTATAAATGGCCATTGACAAATTTTGCATTTTTTTCCGGCATGCACTATCCATGAGTTGTTTTAATTTGTACAAATCATCAGTATTTTCTGTCTGAACCTCCATATAACAGTTTTATAAGAATTCAAAAATGGCAAAGAGTCGAGATAATAAAAAAGGCGATAAGATAAAAATCAAATTAACAAAAAACGAATATATATGAATGTTACATTAGTCCGAAATATCTGACGTTTTCTAAGCTTTTTTTACGATTTTGATATTTTAAACGCCAGGCTATATAGGAAAAGGCAGAAAAACTTTTTTCGAACTAGAATTACACAAATTAACGAAAATGAAATGTCATAAGCGTTACTATAATTCAGTATGTGCCATGCATCAGTACCCATATGCTCAAATCTATAAACCAGTTAGCAAATCATTTACTAGAAAATTTTCATGAAAGATTTCATTAAACCATATATTTATAAATGGATGTTTTTTTTCTGACTATTTTCGATTAAATTTCCACTCTGAGAAATTAAAATACCTAAGACGTAGGTCATTGTTTTGAATTCAAAAGAATTAAATTTTCCAAAAGTTTATTCGTTGGAATGTGAATTACTTCAAGGTTTGCTTAAATGTGACCTTATTGATAATTAACCGGTTACCATTAAGCATCTATAAGACTTCTTTAATTCATTATTGAGTTGTATTTAAGCACCAATGTGGACTTTGCTATGATTTCCTAGTGACTTAATGATGATGGCTAATTTCTAATTACCAATAACTAATTAAGTACATGTAATAATTGATAACTTACTGGTGCTTGAAAATGTTTAATCGGCGTGTAACAAACTGATGACTATTTTATTCTCCTTGGGTTTTTTTTTTTGATACATAAATCAATATTAATATGTTTCCGTCGATTTTAATCAATTTGTTATTTCTTAACTTGCAATACTATATTATATTTTCGATATGATCAGCTTATTCATGTTCATGTGGATATTTGCAAAATCTGTCCTACCCGAGAAATATTTCCGTATATGATATATATAGTTTGAAATAGTTCCGGTCCTAGATATGTAAATACTGGTATATTTATTTCCCGATATGAGTCAAGTACATAATGATTTGAATATCACTAAAGAACACATTGATTCTAAAAGCTGCCTTATCTGATGTGAGATACATCAATTCCTTGGGGTCAATTTTAATTGCTAGAAAGATTAATACTTGTACTTTGTACTGACGAAAACATTTCTGAAAATATGCCCATGGTATGAGCAACACGTATTCATCGAAATTTGATTTTCAAAAAAAAAAAAAAAAAAAAATGTAAAAGGCTAAAAGCGTATGTTTTTATGTCCTGATTCATATGATTTATATACTTTATAATCAAAGTACTGAAAGCACTCATGGGAGTTGAACATGGTGTAAACAAAATATTTGATCGGGAGGTTAAGTGAGTGAACAATATTATATTATTTCAAATACAGACAACTGTTTCACATTTTTTGAGTTGCAACAATCTTGATCGAGAAAGACATTCAGAGACATTGAATAGCAAAAACATGCATGGGCCATAATGCTTGCCTGCGTACTTAAGTCCTTTCTTATACCCCCTGCTTGAAAAGTGGGAGGGTATTTATTAATCGGGATTTCCGTCCATCTGTTTGTTACGCTTAGGGTATACCCATCTCTTATCCGCAACTCTGCTAACATCACTGAACAAAATTTTCATAGAATCTTTATTATGTTCCCCAAAGGAAGTTGGGGAACATATTGTTTTTACTCTGTTTCTTCTTCTTATTATTATTTTTCCTGGGAAAATCTTTTCTGCGAGTGATCTTGTAAACTACACATCCGACTAAGGTGAAACCTTTTTAGGGTCAGTAGGCATGTTATGTAGATTTGCGGAACGAAGGTCATTTTGCGCGCACGTGCTTGCAAGAGCGTGAACGTGCAACACGTGAAATGACCAATATAATGAAATTTGCCGTAACTTTTTTAATTTTAGATGAAATGTTTTGAAACTCATAATATGAGGATATATTGGTAGCATACACAAGATGACATGGTCAAAATAGCAAGATCTTACGCGCATGCACGTTTGCTTCACTCTGATTGGCTGAAACAGAAGTCTCAATATCTTTCTTGTTTTCTGATAAAATCCTTTGAAATTTTGAATACAGTCATACATAAGGGAGATCTACAGCCTGATATAAAAGAATTATCATGAAAGAATGTGCAAGCACGTGTGCTTGCAAGAGCGCACACGTGCAACACCAGAAATGTCCAATATAATTGATATAGACGTAACTATTTAATTTTTTTATGAAATGTTTTAAAACTTATAATATAAGGATATATTAGAAGCATAGACTAGATGACATGGTCAAAATAGCAAGATCTCACGCGCATATACGTGCGCTTCGCTCTGATTTGCTGAAACTTAAGTCTCAATATCTTTCTTGTTTTTCGAGAAAATCCTATGAAATTTTGAACATGGTTATACATTATAAAGATCTACAGCATGGTATATAAGAATCATCATGAAAAGCATGCGCATGCACGTGTGCTGCAATCTGATTGGCTGAAAATTTAAATGTCTATAATTTTCTTAGTCTTCAACCAAACGGGATAAAATTTAGAATATGAATAGGTACAATGGATTCCTACATAATGGTACTATCAAAATTGAATGCCCGAACATTCATTCATGCATGTGCGCGCGCGAAATACGCAAAATGGCTAATATTTAAAAAAACAACAACATTAAAATGTATATTGTAAAGAATTTTTTTATTTATTCTCACAATATAATATTATAGATATGTTAATTGTTTAGACAACATGCTATGATCATCTTGCATGTACATGCAAGTGCGTGCTCGTACAATGCGCTAAATGACATATAGTTGATATCATTGTACGTTTTATGATTCTTTGATGAAATCCTTCGATACTGATCATATTTTTTTAAAAATGTCTTAAAGGAATTAGGCACAAAAAGGGACTTGGGGAGCGTTTGGGGAACATCTGTAACGGTCCCCGTTACAATTAGCACTAGTTACATATTGCCGTTGTGCTTCTTCTATTACTTTTTCATCCTACACATATTCTGGGCTTCCCATTGCAAAACATGGACACTGCCATTATTTAAACAATAAAATGCTTTCTTTGTTTGTTATCACTGGAATTAACGGAAGCAGCTGTTGCAGAAAAAATACATAACCCGCGGATGATCATTTATATCACTGCTAACAGTCTTCAAATTTGTAATATATTTTTCCTTTGCACCTTTACCCATGTGTTATGAACATTTCAGTTTGGCAGGGATGATATTAATATAAATGTTGATACCATGATTGCAAGAAATAAGGAAAAAGATGTCAAAAACTCTAATGCATCGAATGACACTACAAAATGTGATCATAAAATTGTCATCATCAACATACACGTGATTTTGTTTTTTTTTATCACTTCCCCTATGTGACGCCATGCAAACATGGTTAAGTTGTTTTGACAAGCGATTTTAGTGCAAAATAACAAAAATACACATATGACCAATTTTCATAATTTTCGGCCACAAAGTCAAAAAGTTTTCGTATATTATGTTTTTATGCGTTTCTTTTTCCTTTCAGTCAGGTTAAGGTCTTAGGTTTGACGCGGCGGCGAGAACGAGAAACGAACCCAGGCCTCACGAAGCGAACGTTCTACCTCTAGGCTACCGTGACCGGTCTCCAAATATGAAATAAATGTGTCAGACTCTGTAGTATCTTTTATTTCAAGCTCACCGTGATATGCCATGTCGACATAAGAATGGAAATCACAATAATTGTTAATTGACAATACGTGTTCGACATATCTAAATGTCGAGTTGAAAAGCCACGAAAAATTTTCAACCAATTCTGCTTCATATGAATACAAAATAGATCTGCTAATAGCAGGGTGCAATTGGTATCTATGAGAATTCCAATAGATTGCTGCAAAACCTGGTTTCGAACATCTTCCCATGTCAAGAGTTTCTGATCCGCTCCGTTCCACATAAACCCTTGACCGAACAAATTAAATTTGTCGGGGTTAGAAATGCGTTCTCTGATTGGCCTTATGGAAGTTTGCATGAACCAATCAGAATCATTGTTTTATTTAAACTGAAACTAAATCGTAAACAGAAAAAACCGCCAGTTTAATCCCAAGGATAGCGTCTTTATCATTAGATAGCCCAGCTAAAGCATTTTAGCTGAGTTATATTGAAATTATTGCCGACTTCCAATTTTATCTCGAATTCTCTGTTGAATTTGTTTATTCTGATTGGCTAATAGCAGAGGTCAGTAGAGTTCAAAATGTGTAATCGCACTAGATGGTCGTGACAGTAAAACCCGTCAAACTTTTAATTATTCGGTCACGGGTTTATGTGGAGCGGAGAGGAAAAAAACTATTGACTTGAAAAAATGGGTTTCGAAAAACCAGATACAGTATAGGGGACGCAGTATTCTTTTTAATAGCAACTTCAGAGTACTTGTTTGTACAATCAGGATGTGTTTTTAACAAAGTAATTTTGCAAATGACCAGTAAAATGTTAAGTAAATTTACGAATCTCATTTTTGATAGGGAATGAAAAGAATAAAAAGCAGCAATTAAGTACTCAGTAACAAGAAATAATAAATAAGAAAAATAAGATACAAATTATGTTATGACAACAAATTAACAAGATATTAACGCAAGAAACTTAGTAGTCACAACTGTACATGTCCTGGACGTTAAACAACAATTAAACAAACAAAAACACAGTTAAAATAGGAATTAAAATATCATTTCAATAATAAGTGTAAGCTAAGGTTCACATAGTCTATTACTACGTTACACGTAGTTAAAGTCAGTACAAATAAGTCACACCAAATAAATTACAAAATATTTCCATTTATAGTAACTCTTAGAAAGTTAGGTGAGTTGATTTCTTGATAATTCAACCTCAATGTAAAAATCGCGAAGAGAAATGTCAGGAACTATGAAAATTTTAATATGCATGTAAATCTCGTGAGTCTGACTTTGTTCTGACGTCAGTGGGCGGGGATTTTTGAAATTGACATGAGAGGTTTCGTGTAATTCAATACAGTATATTTGACAATTCTTAGATCTACATTTACAGTTTTATTAGTCCCCTATCGATGAAACCGGAGGGGACTATAGGTTTCCTCTGAGTCTGTCCGTCTGTCCGTCCGTCCGCCTAGCTGTTCCTATATCTGTCTGTCAGTCTGTCCTACTTTGTTTTCAACACTTTTATCAAAAAGCCTGCAAATATTGAGCTGATTTTTGGTATATGAGTGTATCTTGATGAGTTACAGATCAATTTTGAATTTCCTTCCGCTTCATTGGTTTTTGACTAAATAAGGGCATTTTTAATTTTTCATAATTGGAATTACGATTGGGTTTGTTACAGTATGCACTAAATTAATCTTCCAAACAAGTTTGCATCCTAAAGAGAAAGGGGAACCCGGTAGAGGACATGTATTGCTTGAGCAGTACTCTCAGAATGCTTGTTTCATATCAATGATATGGAGATATAAGGAATTTGTTGGGTATGCCAGGGACATCAACGATAGTTGTAAACAAGGGATAATATATGCACAACGGTCTTCGATATGACATTTAAGTTAGTCGGTGTCCCTCCAGGGCTCCCGTATTGGACCCATGATCACCAAATAAGAAATTTTAAAAATGACATAAATGCAATTTTGTTCTAAAGATATATTCTTAGATTTTTACATTCGTGGATTTTCTTGTATATTTAAACGACCATGGTTTTATTTGTCAACTTCTATATAAATGTTTCAATTTATTTAAATAAAGATAATATGTATATAATTATTAATTATAGCTTTAGTGAAAAAAAAGTTTATAAAATTAATGGGCTTTATCATAAAAACAAATATAATATACATAGTGCTTGAAATATATTTCCGTATTTATATTCTAAGTGGAGACTTTCTAATTACAGATATGTTAATGTTTTTGAGTCTACTTCCCCAAATGAGTCATGTATACATCCAAGTTTTATCAGCAGAGAACGCTTTGGTTCCAATAAGTGGGACATCGTAAAATTAATTTGGTAACAATCTGTATCGTATGGATGTGCTGGAATCTCAATTGCTTTTTAGCGATACTTACATGGATGCTTAAAATGCATATGACATGAACCGCACCTAATCATCAAAGGTTGATTTTAAAACTATTTAATATGTTGTAGACGGCTTCCTGATTCAACAGAGTTGATTGATAGGCCATGAAGATTGTCAAAACATTCTTGTTTATAACCTTTTCTCCATTTTTCTTTCCATTAATAAGTGTAGCCACTGAACCGGGCTTAGGGATCTGTAAAGGGTAAGTATTTCTTTTAAATTTCCAAATCCATGAAATATTTTAAAGAATACTTTAACATTCTCTTTTTTAAAAAATAAAGAGAGTATTGTTCATCTTCGATAATAAAATTAAATCTTAAGTCATATACTTTTAAGATATGGAAGCGTTCTGTTGACTGCTCAGACATTTAATCGGATATTTTAAAGAATTCGATACTGTGCACAAATTTATTTGGTAAACATTATTGTATCTTTAAATCAAGTATCCGTAAAGAAAACATAATGCTCAAAATTGCTTTATATGCATAATTACATAGTCATTTTCTACTTGAAAGTGTTTGAGGTTAATTTTCCATGGAGAACTTCCAAGAACTACAAAGTTGCACCTGCATACTCCATGTTAACGACCAACCTCTATTCTCTATTGAGGATTTCCATCCCGAATACGACCCTGAAATGTCCATCAAATACATAATAGTCTGATATTAAATTAAAGCATTCTATAGTAGAAAAGGAATGCCCGCGGGATACTATTTGTTTCAAAAATTTGTTTACTTAACCGGTATTTAATTAAAAATTTGGAAGTATGCATTGAAGTCAATGGGAAAAAGCGTTTTTTTTTCCCAATAAAAATTCAAACGATAAGAATATCATTAAATAAGTGGCGGAACGATGCATTGAAGCATTAGAAATAGAATGACAATTGAACATAGGTTTTTAAGTAGATAAATTTTTTAAAATGGATTTTTTTATTTATTAAAAAATAGAGGAAGATAACTCTTACCAAGATTCAAGGTCATAAATTAGGGCACATCCCACCCTTGCATGTACATGCATATAGTAATAAATAGGAATATTCTCTAAATATACCGAGTATTCATGATCAACATCTACACACCTGTTATTCAATTTCATTGAATCTGTTGCTATTAGAGACTGATTACCTTTAAAGCGTTTTCCTGATGGATCTCTTGTATATTATTATTTCGTCAAAAAATAACATGTCTCTTTCTGTAACCGCTCATTTCTAAAACTGTTTCTTTTTTTATTTTTACCTTAACTCATTCCACCTCATGAATCTTTTCCTGTTTTGCTGGTCTTAAAGCCAAACCCCTTAACTTGTTGTGAAACTCTAGTTTGTTCATCTGATCATACTCTTCTTTGAAGATGCAAATCCAACATCAATCTGTAGAAAAAATCTATACTGGTCGTTAAACTTTTTTTGTTTGTTTGCATAATTAAAAAAAATTGTTAACTCATATGGAGACACAACTACTTGCTGGTGGAAGGCTGCAATTTTAACCAATGCTCGCAATTCAAAACATTTGAGCATTGAGAGACCCCTTTCGTGCCAATACCTACTGCGACACGAGATCTTTGCTTATGCAGTCTCATCCGAAGGACTACCAGTAATCTCCACATCCCGAATTGGATTCGAACCCACTACGTACACTGTACGGATAACTCTTTACTCCGAGACTCTAGAGCAGACGCTCTACCAACTGCGACGGTCATTACATGTTAGAAAGAATGTACGAGCGTCGTTCAATAAATAATGCAACATGTCATCTGACAATATGAAAAAGTACATAATACATATTCTTAATAGTTTCAATTCTTCAAGGCGTTCCCTGTTACCCTTTACGTCTTATGTCTTTGTATCCATGCACAGAAATCTTCAGCATACTCATCTTTAGGGATTCCCCAAAGGCACTGATGAATATCATTTCCCATGACATATTTGACATTATACAATCTATTTTTGATTGTTTTTATGTGTTTTGAGAATAAAAAAAATCTCACAATGTCTTAGATCTATCTAATGTGACCGATGGAAAAAGTTCTGTTTACTTTGTTAGACTCCTACCTGTGAAACCGGAGTATCCATCTGAAAAGTATACAGCATTTAAGATAACTTATTTCTACATATAAAATCATATCTTAAGTATGAGTTCGTCGGGGATTTATGTAAAAAGCTCTGTTTTCACATACGCTGTTATTTTCATTTTCTTGGTAGATATAATTTATAAACAGTTTTTTGCTCAGTGTAGTGACCATATTTACCTTAAAAGTGAATTTCTTTGCGAAGACAAGAGGAAAATTCATGGGCTTTTCTGTCTTCAAGACCTCTTAAGTAGACCTTTTCAACTGTGTAAAAAATAAAATTAAATGCCTCAACATTTAATATGATAAACTGTGTGTTGCATTACTTATTGAACGACCCTCGTAAGATAATTGCACCATTTGATACATGTACGACTTCATTCGAGGTCAAAGAAGGTTCCCAAACGACATGCGTAAGGGAAACATCACTATATATTTTGCCTCTGATAAAAAAAAAAAAATCTTAAAATTTAATCCGTCGGGGAGAATACTGTCAAGTCATATTTTAGTGCCTTTTAATTCAATGTTGTTAACATCCTTAATATCAAAGTGTCAAAGTTATCACTAGAGTAAAATAAAATTTTCAAAGTGATCACTATAGTGTCAACGTGATCACTGTAGTAAATCAAAGTGTTCAAAGTGATCGCTATAGTGTCATAGTTATCACTACACCAAAGTGTTCGAGGTTTTTACTATAGTAAATCAAAGCTTTTACCATAGTAAATCGAAAACTAATTGCTAATTATATAGCTGCATGCAATAGATCAAGGAAATTTCGTTGGCATTACTTATTTGGATTTTAGCAAAGTACCTGATCTCGTAAATCATGATATACTTATTACTAAACTTAAACATGTTAAATGCTACAACTTTGATCCTATATCAATTCAATAATGGTTTGAATCATATTTAAATGATCGAACTCAGAGTGTTAAAATTGGTGCGTGCACATCTGAATCACTGCCTGTCACAACAGGTGTGCCAAAGGGCTCTATTTTAGGTCCTTTGTTATTCCTGTTATATAGTAATGATAATTATCTGTTGAACATTGTAATATTGATATGTTTGCTGATGACACTACAATACATTTTCATGATAACAATATTTCACATATTGAAGCAACTCTGAATCAAGACCTTTATCAAATACAAAACTGGTGTCAACAAAATCAGATATTTTGAATACTGACAAAACTAAATGTATGTTAATGGGAACACAACAAAATAAATCAAAATTAGAAAATGCTAATCTTCGTTTACAACTTTCTGGCCAACCCCTTGAAAATGTTACAACAGAGAAATTATTAGGTGTTCACATTGATCATAATCTTCAATATACTAGTCATGTAGATGCAGTTTACAAAACTCTTGCATATAAATTACTTACTTTACGAAAAATAAAAAAGTTCCTTCCATTGCATACTAGAAAGCTGTTTTATAACGCATTTATTTTACCATCAATTTTATATTGTCTATCTATTTGGGGTAACTCTCCTAAAACTCACATCGATAGAATATACAAACTTCAAAAACGAGCAGCCAATATTTAAAATGAAAAATATTACGCACCTTCAATGCCCTTGTTTAACATTTTAGACTGGTTAACAGTTCACGAACTTTATAATTACAGAAAAGCATTCTGATGTTCAAAACATTTCATGGTATATCTCCTGATTATATACATGATTTTTTTGAATTTCAGAGTTGTGGATCATACACGCTACGCTCAGAGACAAATTCAGAACTTCGTTTACCAAAATATAAAACTAATATATCAAAAAATTCTTTACAGTATTCAGGGGTTTTTATCTGGAAGGAGTTACCTATAAGTATAAAGAATTCCCAATCCCTTTCAATATTTAAAAGTAGGGTTGAAATTTTTTTACTTATGAGACGTTCTTCATGAAAAACAAAAATGTTTTCATTCCTCTTAACTTCATAATGAAACGAAAGTGTATAATTTATTCTATTGTAACATAGTGTTTATATTTAATTGTTCCATGTTTGTGATTATTAAGGTCTTCCGTCTCCAACAGAAGACCTTATTGTTTTCGTTCGGTTTCTTTTTCCCTATTATTATTAAGGTCTTCCGTCTCCAACGGAAGACCGTATTGTTTTCGTTCGGTTTCTTTTTCCCTATTAATATTATTATTTTTCTTACCGATTTTGTGCACGCGATTTCTTGAAAACAGCTGGCCCGATTTTCACCAAACTTTCAGATCTGATAGATATTCATCTGAACCTTGTCGGAAATTTTCGTCGTTGATGACGTCACTTCCGGTCTTGAGATATGGACGGTTTTCAGATTTTAAGAGGGTAGGCTTGTCCTGAGATCTCCTCCTAAACGACTTAAGATATCGACTTGAGATTTTCAGTGAAGGTAGAGGAAGGATAGTAGTTGTGACATTTTGCATATAGACCTTTCCAGGGGAAAAGGCATCGACGCTCGCCTGGGCTCGAAAAATAGGCTTATACGCATCTCGCAAAAATTGATACGTTTTCTTTTATGTCTTTTTACTGGTAAATATTTTGTTAAGATATATAAAATAAAAAATTTGCAATATAGTAAGGCCTTCCATTTGATATGAAGAAAATGGGGTTAGCCCTTCAGATTAGGGGCACAGAGGGGCCAAAAGTCTCTCGTCTTTAACTCTGTAATGATCAATATTTTGTGATACATTACTGAAGCAAAGATATTCAACTTAACGATTTGCAACAATATTTACTAAAAAATTGATCATATGCTACGTAACAAAGGGCCACAAGGGGCTAAAATGCTAAATCTTTGACGCTTTATATCTCAAAAAGCGTGAATATTTTGATAAGCAATATTGAACAAAAGATGGTCAAAATAATGTTCCCAACAATATGCATACTTTTAATTTGTTCATTTTTTCCGACGACACTTCCGTTGTAAACCGGAAGTACATGTAATTTAATTACATGTACATGTATAGCGATTTATTTTTTTATTTTCTAATGAATGTAATTGTTCATTATAGAGATTTAAAAAATGCGTAGCATCTTAATATTTCCACCGGAAGTACGGTTCGTTCAAACCGGAAGTTGTCTAAAACTGAGTATTTTCCATCGAAACTTTCAGGGATGATTACTGCATGCTTGATGCAGAGTTGAAAGTAGTTTCGAGCACATACGGGCGCACCGGAAGTGAAGAAGTAGTACCGAAAGTTGATTGGAATTGATAGATCCTACAATTTTTTGTGTTTCTAAACATATTTTGAAGAATTCTTGTGCGTTTTTGACATTTTTTATCCTATCAGTGGAATTATCCCAACACAGGTCTTATTCCATCAAATATCGGACGGAAGACCTACTCGTTGCGTGCAACGAGATCGCATCTAGTTCTCTTTATTATTGTATAAAACATTGTATATGTGTTTTAAAGAAGGTCCCAAGGAAGACTAGTGTTCGCACTAATCGGATTACCTTCTATAAATTATTATTATTATTATTATCATTATTATCATTATTATTATTATTATTATTATTATTATTAATTTGGCATAGTTGATCACTATTGTAAATCAATGTTTTCAATGTAATCACTTTAGTAAAGTGTCAAGTTATCACTATGTGTATAGTAATTGAAACTTTCAAAAGTTATCATTATGCTAAATAAAATTTTTCATAGTGTCAAAGGTATCACTATAGTTAACTGTAATAAACTAAAGTTTACTACAGTATTTTTCTAGTCGTATATCCCCCCTCCACGTTGAACCACTTACTATTATTATATCAAAGCAATATCTCCCTCCACGTGCAATACTTTCCAGATCATTTTCAATATGTTGAGTTAATTTGAACACGCATGGAACTTAAAACGCTTGTCAGCTAGACACCAAAGGACGGCACAATATAACATTTGGAATAAAGAAAACGATTTACTCAACTTGATAAGAATAAAAGAACCTGTAATGATAATAGGATAAACTCTTTAATAATAACTTTTTCATCATTTGATAATTTTTATTTGTTAATTTTGATACTTAAGGAGGTGGGCTCCAGCTGTCATCAAAAGTATTGAGAATGTTTTGCCATGTATATTTTATAATCTCCACAGATAGCTTAATAAAAAAAAATAAAACAAAAAATGGGCTCATCGTGCAGTGCGCTTTTTTTCGGAGCGATTAATGTGACCTTTTTGCACTGATATTAATACTTGATACTTTCAGGAAATGCACGAAATTTACGAGGGGTATGCGAAAATTCTACGTTTGTCAATTTTCCTCTTTGTGCGTCATTGTATCTCTTTTAAAAAAAAATAAAATCATTTGAAAGAAATGTCATTTGCCTGAATTTGAGCAGAATGATTAAATCTATCTCATATTTTCAGAAAATGAAATAACAGATGTCAGATTATTAGCATAATTTTACTAACATCCAAAAATTAACATCACCGACTCCAAAGTGGGAATCTGTAATGTTAATTTTTGGATGTTAGTAAAATAATGCTAATTTTAGGCTTAAATTTGGCTCTTTTTTTTCAAGGACTCTCACGACATATTTGATATATTTGCCAAATATAATGATAGAATTCATAAAAGTTAATTTGATATATAATTTAAGATCAGTACAGAACAGTTCATTACACAAAATATTTTTTTGTGAAGGCTGCATAAAAAAATAGGAATCCAAACTTAACAATACTGAATACTTCAAAAGATGAAAAAAATGATATTTCTTCTAAAAAAAAAACCTTCCGCCACAAAAAATAGTACATAACTTAATGTTTTGTTATGGATTTTTATCATGGGGTTTTAATTGAGTATAGTTAAATTAGAATTATAGAATCCAAATTTATTGTTAGAACTAAAACGAATTTCAGATTTTTTCAAATAGAAGTCAATACAAAAATCTTCTTAAAAAGCTGAGTAGCGAACATCGTTAATAGTTAAATTCTTATTGATATCTACAGGTGTCCGTAATTTTTCCGATCAATCCTCTTATATTAGAGTTTTGATTTCGAATAATTTGATAATGAAGACAAATCAAAGTTTTATTGTTCCTTGCAAAAATAAAATGTCGAAATTTAGAACTTGCTTTTGATATCTTTAACCATATGCATGAACAGAGTGTCCAAAACACATGTTACACTTTTAAACCGTTATGAAAATTTTATGCCTCAAGTTACATTATTGAAATTTAAAATATATTATAAAATTGTTATAAAAATTTATTATCAGACATACATTTGTCACAGTTTTCCTATTAATGATCAATATTTCTTCCTTAGAGTAACATATGTCATTTTACAACATGTTCCAAATGACGTACCTTTGAATTAATATATACATTATTTGAACACGATTTCTAAGTTCTTTGTTCAAGTTTTAAATAGAACATTCCAACAGTTTAGAGGTTTTTCCACAGAAAAATTGGGTTTCACTAAACAACAGAATTTAAGATTCTATTTCACAACATAGTGCGCTTCATCGGAAAACCATCAGAGATGCATCTGATAAATTTTAAGAGTTGGGTCTAATTAAAATCCAACTGGCAAACTCTGAATCATTTCTAATTTATGTCTCTTTCAAAAGCTGCTTTACATTTATCTTGTAAGGAATCAATTTAAAATCAAATGTGAGTATTTAATGAACACTAGATTTACAAAAGGTGTTATCTTGTTCATGCAGGACCCATATAAGGGATTTTTGTCAAGTTTCATTAATAATTCTATCAAATGGTATTAATGTTCTTTTTGGTACGGGCATTTCTGGGTCATTTAGTACCATTAATAATTCATTTGTCATTTTTGTTGCCTTTAACTTCAAATTCCCTAACAAATTTGTAAATTGTATTCTGATGAGCACTTTTATTACAGTAAGGATGTTGTTTTCTCATGGTTCTAATGATTAAAGTAGCAGATTTAGACCCATAGTAAAGTTTCACAATTTTTACCAGCTGTTCACATGACGGTTCTATATTAAAAATATGATGACGTCATGAGGACATCATTATTACCTGACCTTGTAACAGAATTTCTCGAAAGTTTGTCAGATAAAATGTATGCTAATCCACTAGATGTTGACAAAATATTTTTGTGAATGCTTTTGGTTTGATAAAGTTATAGATGATTAAACGTGTAACATATGTTTTGGGACACCCTGTATATAAAAACTTTCATTAACAGGAAAGAAAACATTTGTTGTGATGGTTACTATGAAGAAAACGGAACATGCAAAGGTAATCAAAATTAGAAAAAGAAAGTATTTAGAACAGAAACATTTATCATACTTGTACTTCACAACTCATTTATTGTGAAATAATTACACTTTCTTGTTAATTTCAATGACAGTTTGTCCAGGAGGATCATATGGAAAAAATTGCACACAAACGTGCCCCGAAAACTTATATGGAGAATTCTGTCGTGGAAAATGTAAATGTACCACTGAAGAAACATGTAATCCTGTTAAAGGATGTATGTGATATTAAGTTTCTTAATCAATATATAATTGTTTCATTAATTCTAAAGTTTCCTTTATAAACCTTTGAAGCATATTTAGAGCTTCTTTATGAAAATTATTATACTTGACTTAGGTGTTCCAAAAGGAGTATGCACCGGTTCTGACGGGTAAGAAAAGAAACCTTTCTATTTGTATTGATTCTATATTGTCAATTCAAATTATACATTATTCAGTATTCTAATGTAATTACGCTTTACACTCAAGTTTTTACTCATAACATCACCATGTATCTTAATCCATCTAATTTCAGAGAATTTAAATGTTGTTACAGTTACTATCAACGCGCCAAAGAAAAATGCTCAGGTGCGTTTAAGATTTATAAATGCTTTGCTGTACTCTGTTTGCAATTGGGTTTCATATTCAATACTCTTCTAGACCCTTTTTAGTCGCCAGCGTGCGGCAGTGGTAAGAGCGTCTGCTCAAGAGTCGCGAAGTAAGGAGTTGATCCTTAATTACGTCGCAGGTTTGAATCCCACTGTGGGACGTGGAGACCAGTTCTTTGTGTGAGTCTGTATAAACCGAGGTCCCGTGTCACAGGAGATGCTGGCACGAAAAATATCCCTCCCTGCTCAACAGCCCTAAGTTCCGAGCATAAGACAAAGTTTGCTCTCCATCGGCAAGTGGTGGAATCTCGATATAAGTGAAAAATTCTCGAGAGGGACGTTAAACAGTATACCATCGATCAACCTAGACCCTCTTTGAGTGAAAAAATAAAAAAAGGACAATCTATCAAATAAAAAGAGTCATATATTTTAATAAGGGATTGTTATGTTTAAATGAGAGAGAGAGAGAGAGAGAGAGAGAGAGAGAGAGAGAGAGAGAGAGAGAGAGAGAGAGAGAGAGAGAGGAAGAAAAGTTGTTTTCATCTCTTCGAACAAGTTTCATTTCTTTCTTTTTCACCATTCTTGTATAATGATTTGTGTTTGGTAAAAGAAATAGTCAAGTGTTATATCGCAGAAGGCACATTTAAAGAGGTTTTCAGTACATCTAGAAGTACAATATCATACATGTATTTTAACCATGAAATTTAGATACTGGCTTTATGTTATTATTTCTTCCTTCAATACATGAATAAATATTCTTTTAATAAGTAATTGGGGGTTTCTCCGCTGGAGATAATGTTCAAAATTTTCAAGCAGTGATGGTACAAGATCACATTCCAATAGTATATGTTCAATTGTCTCTTTTTTTGGACAAAAAAAAAAATACACTGCTTAGAAACTACCTTTCTTATTTTCAATAAACAAAAAAAAAAAAAAAAATAGTTTCAAATTTTTCGTAAGAATTCTGTTTAAGAGTATAGTTTATTTTTGTAACTTAAAATGGTAATTTATTAAGTATTAAGATTTTCTATATGAAACTACTTGAGTTAACTTTTTTTGTAACTTAGAAAGGTAATTCAGGAATTATCTTGCATTCCTTGCTATCAAATTCAGACAAATAATTCAATCACTTCTTGTAACCAGCTGTTAATGAAGAAATTTACTTTAGAATTTCATAAAAGTTTTTTTTTGTTTTGATACAAGATAGCAATAAAACTCAGCAAGAGGATTTTCTGATTTTCCTAAATTTTTTTTATCAAAATTGCTCCTCTTAAAGAGGCTGGGTGGTCGTGGCCATTTTTAGACTATTTCAGTATTTTGATCTCCTTTAGAAGAAGAGCTCCATATAAAGATATAATAAACTGATCAAATTTTCAAACTAAAGTTTATGAAATTTTTCTTTGCCAAATGATAGTTGACAGCTCAAGATATCATATCTAAAAAAAAATAAGTTATATCTGGTGGTTAATAAAAAATAATCTGTTGACCCCCTAGCCTCTTTAATAACAACATTGTCTTCGTTTCTAAGGTTCATTGTAAAAATTGTATTTTAAAAGAACTTGGATTTAATTCTACAAATGGTAATCCAACTTATACTCAGAGTGTCCTTTTTAAAGAATACATTCTTCAAAATAATGTGTCAGTTTTGAATATAATTAATATCCCAAATTAACAAAATTGAATTTGAACTACCATTATTGGATTTTGAAATTTCATAAGAATCCTTACAATCAAAGATACATGGAGGGTTCGAGTAAATATTCAACTAAGCCTCTTTCTTTACTTCTAAGATATTAACAGAAGTGAAAGTGAAGGAGAAACTTCAATAGTACGGTGCAACAATATATTCAAGAAGTGGTGTAAATCAGATGAGGGCATTACAAATTCCAAGGAACTTTTGGATAATTTGAAATCACAAGATTTTACCAAAATCAACAGCTTCTTAAATACTTACGACTTTTCGACTTTATACACAACCATTCTTCCACGATAAATCAAAGTCCAGGCTTTTTGATATCAATGACAGCTGCTTTTTCAATCAAAATAGAACTCGTCAATTTTCTTTACATTGCCATTGCTCATTTGCCAAATTATTTTGTTAAAAAACATTCTTATTGTACACACACAAGATCCTGAAGTTGACATCAAAAACATGCTTGAATTTCTGATTGACAATATCTATAATGTTTTTGGAGACCAGGTTTTCCAAGAATAAATTAAAAATTTTGAATTCCCATGGGTACTAATTGCGCTCAGTTATTAGCAGGCCTATTTTTGTAATCATATGGAGCAGAATTTGCGCAAAATCGTATATGTAAAAAGAAGAAAACACTTGCTGTGACCTTCAACTCAACATTTAGATATATCTATGACGTATTGTTAATTAAAAATGGGAATTTTCATTCTTATGCAGCTCTGGTGAGCTTGAGATCAAAGATACCATACGGAGTTTATGATCTCAGTTGATTCGATACGCAATAGCATGCTCGATGTATGAACAATATCTGAAACGAGGTAAATATTGACAAACATGTTATTGAAGTAAGAATATCAGCTGTCTCGTTTAAAGTCATCATTTCGTAAGTTCTATAGTCGATATACAATAACCTTGTCAGGAAATACAATTTATCACTGAGTCGAATGCTGACTGAGATTTTTCATACTACGTGTATTATTTATACACTGAATTGACGACGGATTTTTCCGTTATTTCTCTTACATGACCGGGAAAACACGGCGGGTGTGACAGGTCGGCAGGGATGCTCACTTCTCCATGGCACCTGATTCCACCTCTGATGTTTAGGTGGTCAGTGTTTGCTCTGCTCTGATTTTGAATTGTTTTTACCATAAAAGGTTTCCCTTCAATATTGATATTAGGGTTTAAAAATCAATGGTGAGTCTACAGTAACAGAATCAAAATTTTATTCATATTAACCACTAACTTGATCGAATCAATCCAGAATTCATTTTAAAGTTTTCATAAGTTGAGAAATGTATTCAATTCCGTAAGATGCAAATTTATATATATTCATGTTAAGGATAAATTTCTCCCACCCTTTATTTGCAAAAATCCAGATGTTTTAACCAAAAAGAAGCAAAGAAAGAATTTCAATTCATCATTTTCAGTTCTCCATCGTCATATATTTTAATAATGACATCTTTCTTAACTATTTGGGTTGAATTATTGCATAAAAATGATAAACTTTTTGATACTTAAAATAAAAGTTAGATAGGTCTGGGATTGACATTAATACATGATTTAATATAATTAAAGCCAATGCCTTCAAAATATTTCCAAATTGAGTTTGAATCCTTTTATATTTTACACCATTGAATATAAATAGACTTGATTTGTACTATCTTCGGTTGATATTTTATATCAGGCACTATTATAGTAAAACTTGAGTTTCTTTTTGTTTTGGCATGTTTAAATAATTTTGTGATGTTTTGCGATGAAAAAAATGCAAAAAAAAAAAAAAAATGACATTTCAAATAGTTAGGGCGTCTGCTCTAGAGTCGTGAAGTAAGGAGATGATCATTCGGATGAAACCAAGCCGAAGCCCTGTGTCGAAGTAGGTGCTACTATGAAAAAGATCCCTCCCTTCTCAGTGGCCCTGAGTGCCGAGTATAGGACAACATTTGCAGCTCTCCACCGGCAAGTGGTGGCGTCTACGTATGAGTGAAAAATTCTCGATAGGAACGTTAAACAACATGCAATCAATAAATCAATCTTCACAAAATTTAAACAATTTGCGTTAATCCCATTCGATAATAAAAATGACGCAAAATGTTATAATCTAAATATTGCATTATTACATTTTGTGTTATTACATTAATTATTGTAAATTTTGCGTTGATCTCTCGGCAAAAAGTTACAAGAAAAATTTAATTATCTCAGTTAATTACATCTCATTTTTCGTCTTGTCACATTGCTGTCATTTGGCTACGAAATAACGTTTAGTTGGAAAGTTATGACAGAACTCTCCTATCTTTCCAAATAAACCTTGTTTTTTGAAGTCATCTGAGTCACTCCGATGACCTATTGCTATCTGTTTTCCTTCGTCGTCGTGATCGGTCACGGTAGCCTAGTGGTAGAGCATTTATTCCGTGATCGGGAGGCCCGGGTTCGATTCTCGTTCCTGCGCCGCGTCAAACCTAAGCCGTTAACATAAGTAGTGACCGTTCCTTCGCCAAGCACTCAGCACTAGACGAGAAAGTCACGGGTTTTTCCGATATGACCTTAATAAACGTAGGTCCCGTGACACGTTAGGCGTTGGCACGTTAAAGAACCCTCACTGCCCAATGGCCCTGAGTGCTGAGTATAGGCCTAACTTTGAAGCCCTTCACGGAGACGTCTCCATATGAGTGAAAAATTCTCGAGTGGGACGTTAAACAATATACAATCAATCAATTCTCCGTCGTCGTAAACTTTTAAACATGTTAAGCTTTTTCTCTAGAACCAAATTTGGCATATAGCCAGTGAAGGGGACCATATGTGAATTCCATGGTCCCTGCCCCCCTCCTTGTGGCCCGAGTGTTGAGCCAAAACCACTAAAATTAATGCAATCTTTAACAATCTTCTTTACTCCTTGACTCCAAGCGGTCAAACTGTTTGCAGGATTGTAATAAGCATTGAGCC